TTTTTCCTACTTAACCTTTCTCGTGGTGTCAGAACATAGTAAAAACAACAACAACACCAAAAAAAAACAAAAACAAAACAAAAAAAAAACAGATGGTGAACAATGCCTTGGGGAACTGTGAAAGAGGAAAAAAAAATTAAAAAGGGCAGAGGGCCTTTTACCTCAAGTGTATCTTGTGTTCTCGAATGTAGTGTTGGAGGTTAGTCTGTTACTGGCCCTCAGAATTTGGTTCCACCTAGACTTGTTTTATAAAACTGCCTAAGACATTCCTGATTGGTTGACTGAATGGCCTATACCTGAGCAGGGCAGAATGGGGTAGCCATGGCTGAGGTTCCCAGGCTTGGAGAGGAGAATCACAAGAAACAGACCAGATGGGAAGAGAGCAGGAAGGAGGACACCATGATGAGTTAGGTGGAGAAGGAACCACATGGGACTGGAGAAAGGCCTCCAAGGATGGTGTGAAAAGGCCTAGATGAAAAATAAAAGCACATATTTATAAGATTATGGATGGACAATATTTCAGATGAGGATGGTTAAGGAAGATGGCATTGGGTGGCGTCTGGGAGGTGAATGGTGAGGTTACTGAGACAGCCAATGTAGGTAGAAATATCTGACAAATAGGTAAATAAGGCAATTATAAAATCTAACAGGTGTCTGTGTCTTTTTATTTGTGATAGTGGGTTATATAATACCACTGTGATAATCATAGTGCTCATAATAAACATTATGTAGCCCAACAATCCATATTTTTTACTCACTACAACAATGTGGTTTCATGCCTCCTGTGACAAACACTTACATTTAATTTATAAGACGTTTATTCTCGTTGGATGTCAGAACTTAGCTATAGACTCTAATCTAGTGAAAAGATATGCTGAGTGCTGTCCTCAGTATGCTCTGAATCTGGATACAGCCTTCTGCCTTGCTTTTTGCTTTCCCTGATATAATCTACAGTACATGCCAGGCAATTGTGTTTAATTTGGCCTGTCCTGAGGAAGCTCTGAGAAAGGCCTGCTCTGTTAATGCCTACCGTGTGCTTAGTAATGTTTATTCACATGTTTTTCTGAACTCAGACTACCATTGTTGGATCATTGCTTTTTTGGCTTCATTCATGTAGAAAAGGACACTGAAGCCGGGCATGGTGGCACACGCCTGTAATCTCAGCACTCAGGGAGGCAGAGGCAGATGGATCTCTGTGAGTTCAAGGCCAGCCTGGTCTACAAAGTGAATCCAGGACAGCCAAGGCTACACAGAGAAACCCTTTCTCAAAAATAAAAAAAAAAAAAGTACACTGAAACTGAAGTAATATGTCTGCAGCATCAGACTGTACTCCGACCCATTCTGTAAGGTTTTCAAATCCCAGGTCTAGCAGCTAGATCTGCATAGGTTGACAAAAGTCAATATCATGGACTCCAGGTTTGGGGGGTCCAGGAAGGGCTCTTTAACATCGATATCTTTTGGGTGTTCTTTACCCTTCAACCTCCCAGTTGTGAGAAATAGCAGCATAGTACCACCATCACCCCTTCTTTTATCCAATTTATGCAGTAGATTGGAGGCTAACAAAGAAAGTCATCTGTGTGTCTCTTTTTTTGTTGCAGTTCCTCCCTCAAAGCTGCAATCTCCCTCTCTTTCTCCACCCAGGTTTCAGATAGCTCTTATCACCCATAGCAGCAGCCAAGCTGCCCGTGCAGCTGCCTTCAAACACTTCCACCCCCACCCTCATCACCAGTGCTTGTAGGGTCTGCTCCAGACCTTCAACTGTTCCTCAACATCTCCATGCTCCCTTGGTTAATCCCACCCATCAAGCAGGCGTGTCATCCCATGCCACCCAGAAGACTGCCATCCTCAACAGACATCCCTTCACCTTGGTTACATAACCATTGCCTTCTGCATTACCCATGCCACTGCTACCCGGGCAGAAAGCACACTATCACATGCCACATAGGGACAGAAAGCCATGTCAAAATTTCCCCTGCAAACATTCTGCCACAGGCTTCATTTGCTGGTCTCATTCCCCATAATAAGACACCACTGTACTTCCCAAACTTATCACATGCTGCCAAGTGTTGCTAAGATGTCTTCCCTGGGGGAAACATAAACAATGTTTACCCCCTCATATCCCCCCAATGACAAATCAAAATATAATTTCATCAAAGTTTACTATCTGGGGAATTTACAGAACAAAGTCCACTCTAGGATTACTTACAGAGCAACAGCTGAAGAGTTATGGACAGAACCATGGAAGTCCTTAAAGCAAAAGTTCTAAGCCCAGCATGGATGCAGTGTTTTTAATGAGAATGGCCTCCAATATATATATGTCAAATATATATGTCACATATATTTGAATGCTTAGTCACTGGAGAGTGAAACTCTTTGATAGGATTGGAAAATGTAGGAGATACGGCCTTGTTGGAGGAAATGTGTCACTGAGGCTTTGAGGTTTCAAAAGTCCATGCTACACTGTTCAGTCCATCCTAGGCCCACCGCTCTCTCCCTAGGCCTGCAGATCAGTATGTAACTCTCAGCTGCTTTTCCAGCACCATGCGCTCCACACCATGCTTCCTGCCACAATGATAATGGAGTAAACCTCTGAAACTGTAGACAAGCCCCAATTAAATGTTTCCCTTTGTAAGAACTGCCATTGTCATGGTGTCTCTTCACAGCAATAGAATAGTGACTAAGACAGAAATTAGTACCAGGGAGGAGGGTATTGCTCTGAAAGGCCTGACCATGCAGAAATTAGTACCAGGGAGGAGGGTATTGCTCTGAAAGGCCTGACCATGCTGATTTTTGACAGAACCTGGACTTTGGATTAGGAAAGCAGTTGATGGATTAGGAAAGCAGTTGAATGCTTTAAGTGGAGTTTAGTGAACCATACTGGTGGGAGCAAGGAAGACAGTGGTGCTGAGAGCAACGTAAAATTTAAAGGCCTGGATCAAAAGGTTTCAGAGGGAAAGAAGTTTAGCAAAAAATGTGGCTGCTTTTTGCCTTTGTCCTGAAGATCTGCCTGAAGCTAAATTGAAGAGTTTTGGATTAATGGCTTTGGCAGAGGAGATTTAAAGACGGCCTAGTATTTATTGACTGGTTCATGCATGTAGTTATTGGTGATCACTTTCTTATGCAGATCTATAATAAAAAAGAACCAAGCTGAGCAAACAGAAATACAAAATGTGGAGTTCGAGGAGAAAATCCTTTTCTCTAGAAATCGTAATGGAGTTAAATCCAGTGATCAAGGAGATAAAAAGTCTAAAGAAAGCCTGGTGCTAAATGAAATAAATCGAGTGGTGATCGGGCTAGAGAGATGGCTCAGAGGTTAAGAACAGTCGCTGTTCTTCCAAAGGTCCTGAGTTCAATCCCCACCCACCACATGGTGGCTCATAGCCATCTATAGTAAGATCTGGTGTACAGACAGAATGGTGTATAAATAATAAATAAATCTTTAAAAGAGAGAGAGAGAGAGAGAGAGAGAGAGAGAGAGGTGATCTCAGGGCAAGACTCCACCCAGCTAAGCTTTCAATTTGTGAAAAGGAATTAAAGAAAACTTTAAGTACTGAAGGAAACCATCAGTAGCATAAAGCTGATGTAAATGTAACTGAACAAGGGGGCCATGTTCCAGCCCCAGCAAGCAGCAGAACTTGGCAGCTTCAGCTGCTTTCTGGCTTTAGAGTCAAACATAGAAGAAAAGGGTTATGGAATTTCCCTCTGAGGCTAAGGAAAGCCACTGAGGCCAGGCATATGTCAGGGGTGTCCCTGCATGGAGGCCCAGAGAACCATTTCATGAAGCTGTAAAGCTACATGAAGCTGTAAAGCTAAAGCCTGGATTGGAGACTCCAAATGTTGGAGATACCAGCCATGTGATACCTCCAAGGAAAGCTGCAGAGCAGGTATGGAAATAAACCAAAGGAGAGAAGTGTGTTGCAGTCAAGAAATCTGAAAGGGCCGGGTGTGGTTGCACATGCCTGTGATCCCAGAACTCTGGGAGGCAGAGGCTGGTGGATCTCTGTGGGTTCAAGGCCAGCCTGGTCTACAAAGTAAGTCCAGGACAGCCAACGATATACAAAGAAACCCTGTCTTGATAAACAAGACAAAAAATAAAACAAAACAAAATCTGAAAGGAGTTGATGATCTGAAGAGGGTTTTGATGTCAGACATTAAGATGGAGATTTTCAAGTTTGTCCCATTGATTTTCCAACTTACTTTGGTTCAATATTTTCTCACCATGTTCCCTTTCCTCTCTTTCAGGATTGTCATATGTCTTCTATTTCACTGTATGTTCGAAGTTCATAATCTTGGTTTTTTGATTTATTAGAGGGTCACAGTTAAGAGACTGCTTTGAGTCTCAAAAGTGACTTTGGACTTTTAAGCAGTCCTGAGACTGCTAAAATGCCTTCTGCATTATGACACGTCTACAAGCCTATGGAAGGCCATGTGGTGGAATGCGGTGGTTGGAATGAGAAGACTCCCCACCCCCTATACATGTGTCACATATAGACACATATAGTTGAATGTTTAGTCACCAGGGACTGGAATTCAAGGGTATCTTGGTCATGGTGTCTCTTCACAACAATAGAACAGTGACTAAGACAATGAATGATGACAACCCCATAGATGGACCCCCCTCCCCTTGTTCTTCCCCACCTATGGACTGTGGTACATATGTATCCCAAGGCTCATATAATTAGAGCATATATATATATATATATATATATATATATATATATATATATATATA